TGCTGAGATCTACTCAAAACAAAAGAAGAATAATAATAATAAGAATAATAATTTTAACAAAAACAATAGTGTTTCACACAAGCTACGCAGTGTGAAACCCTAATAATAATTTTAACAAAAACAATAGTGTTTCACACAAGCTACGCAGTGTGAAACCCTAATAAGAATAATAATTTTAACAAAAACAATAGTGTTTCACACAAGCTTCGCAGTGTGAAACCCTAATAATAATTTTAACAAAAACAATAGTGTTTCACACAAGCTACGCAGTGTGAAACCCTAATAATTTTAACAAAAACAATAGTGTTTCACACAAGCTACGCAGTGTGAAACCCTAATAATAATTTTAACAAAAACAATAGTGTTTCACACAAGCTACGCAGTGTGAAACCCTAATAATAATAATAAGAAGAAGAATAATAATAAGAATAATTTTAACAAAAACAATAGTGTTTCACACAAGCTACGCAGTGTGAAACCCTAATAATGCATCTGATTATTATTACATCAGTAAAACTTAGTTCATGTACATGTCATGTTGTGTTAAATCTGTGTTTTAGCTAAGTGACCTCCAGCATGTATTTATATTTAGTATGTCTTTTGTTAAGTTGTGTTAAATCTCAGTTTCTGTGTTTTAGCAAAGTGATTTCCAGGTACCCAATATATACGTCAAAATGACGCTAGATACAATGTATATTTCGAAATTTTTTGAGCACGTGGGGTTCGACCGACTTCCTCGCAACGTTGCTTCTGCTAGGGTCCGGGGCGCCCTGTCGCGGGTCCTGATTATACATGTATTTAAATAAAAATGGTTACATGTCTTCCTCCAGCCACAGTATAGTGGATCGTTCTATAAATGACTTCCTTTGAACACGTTTTTTTAGGATTTGATGACAAAAAGGTTACTGGTCTATAACGCCCTTAATTTCCAATTAAGCCGACCCCAAACTGTACCTCACATAGCTTAACAAACCAATTCCCATTGACATAAAGGTAAAACATTACCGAGTTATTATATGATTTGATAAAATTCAACTGCTACATGAATTTCTGTCCATTTTTAAAATGGTCGCCGAACCAGAATTAGAACAGGCACGTGATTTCACGTCATCTCGAAAAAACAGAAAAACTGTTCGGTAAGATTTTCAGTGTTCAACTCTTCATTATAATTGGAACATAATAACTTATTTCCATGCAAGGTATAGTATTTATATAGCGCTGCTTTCACCAGAAGTGTTCAGTAGCGCTTTACAATAAAAGTCAAATAAAATATAAAATGACAAACAAATAAAATATGAAATGACAAACACATAAAATATATATAAAGTGATAAACAAATAAAATGACGACGAAATTAATAAAAATGAACATGTAAATATATCACAGACTGAGACACTTTATTGGGTCTTATTTTATTTCTACTGGAATTCTGTCATGAGGGGGGGGGGGGGGGCTTTTTAATTTTTTTGCATCGCGTTTCACAAGACAAAGTATGGCAAAAATCAAAATAAGTCTTAAAAACAACTCAACATTCCTATATAATTCTTATTAATAATATAGGTCCTAGTCCAATATTTGTAGAGGAGAGCCGGGCTAGTTGGAACGCAGGTAAGTTGGAACAATGGGCCTAGTTCAGGTAATTATGGCCGTACCGCGCGCATACTTATATCCGGGTACCGTACGTCAACGAAGCCATTATATATGAAAGTTCGTTCAATTTGTCAGAAAACTCCAGTAATTATCGAAGAATAACGAAATTATAGGTGAATTTGCTAAATTTTGTAGGTAAAGACTTTTCCTAATATACTATTCAAAAAAAGTAGGGGATATTTGATTTTGGGGGCATAATACTAAAATATGCAAATGACTACGAAAAAGGTCACTATAGAACCTAACAGAAGAAACATTTCCAGTTACATGTGACGCCCAAACGCACCAATAGCTACCGCATGGAATGCAGGTGATGCTTGGGATCATCATGGGGGTCCAACCCAAGATTTGCACGACTCTGACTTTGAATGTTACAGTCATTGTGGCATTGAATTCCAGGGTGGAAACATCAGTTTAATTGTTTTAGTGACCAGAAAACAAATTTTGATATGCGTCGGCTTACCCAGAATGAAAGGTTACGTGCCCTTGACATGCTACAGATCGGCACAACACAGGCGGTTGTGGCGCGGACGATGAATGTTTCTCAGTCTGTCATAAGCAGGCTATGGTCCAGATACCGTGATACACAATCTGTACAGGACAGACCACGCTCAGGTCGACCAAGGGCGACAACTCAAGCCCAGGATCGATTTATCCGTACCTTGGCCTTGAGAAATCGTGTCATCACAGCAAATCAGATCAGCGCTCGTCTTCAAACAGACACTGGTTTGAGAGTGAGTGGCCAGACGATTCGGAATCGACTGCATAGGGGTCACCTTCGCGCCCGACGTCCTCGCGTGATCCCTTGTTTGAGAGATCATCACATTCAGGCAAGACGTCGTTGGTGTAGGGGTCGTCAACACTGGGATAATCGACGCTGGAGCAATGTGATGTTTTCAGATGAGTCAAGGTTCACTGTTGATTTTTTGGACAGACGTAGGAGGGTGTGGCGTCGTCGAAACGAGCGCTTCCAAGACGTTAACGTCATCAGACATGATCGATTTGGGGGTGGTTCTGTTATGGTGTGGGGAGGCATCACTGTTGCTGGAAGAACGGCTTTACATGTTGTTGCAGGGCGTGTTACAGGCCAGTACTACCGGGACAACATCTTGGCAGTCCATGTTGTGCCGTTCGCACGACGTCATGGCCGCCGTTTCATCTTCCAGGATGACAACGCAAGATGTTACAGGGCCAGGATCGTTACAGGTTACCTCCAACAACAGAACATCACCACATTACCTTGGCCAGCACTGAGTCCCGACCTCTCCCCCATCGAGCATGTCTGGGACATGCTTGGACAGAGGTTACGTCAACGTCAACAACGTCCTGCCAATGTCCAAGAACTTGCTGCTGCGTTGCAACAGGAATGGGACAATCTGGACCAAAATGACCTTAGACGTCTCATTAGGAGTATGCCACGTCGGATCAATGCTTGTTTGGCAAACAGAGGAGGATTTACCCGTTACTGACTTGGTTGTGATGCTGTGGTAACTTTGCTGTTTGACCCCGGGTATCATTTTACCCTTATAATGGTCAGTCTGTGCCTTACTTAGTCTAACGATCATTTGGAATAAATCGATGAATGTGAACTTCATTTCATTTTGTCATTTGTTTCTTCGTCAGTTTCATTAGGTGACTTTAATAACACTTAAAAATCAAATATCCCCTACTTTTTTTGAATAGTATATCTCCGCACCTAATTGATCAATACTAAAAAAAATTATATCGACAGAATTGTCTTTTAATGCAGCTTTTACGAGATAAATTGTTTCAGTTTAGTGTTTGTTTTGATTACGTCATCATTGAATATGCTAGTACAACTCCACTAGGGTTAGTTGGAACATGAGCCGTAGGGCACGTTGGAACACTGTTCCAACTTACCCTGTGGTGTTCCAACGTGCCTTTGTCACAATAATTCATGTGTATGATATTTGGGAAGTGGGTACCCCCCCCCCCCCCCCAGTATTAAAGCTATTGTTAGTCCTCACTAAAGTTCAATTTTATATTTTCTGGTTATACACGGACTTTTAAGGTTTTTTAACTACTATATGTCTTTGTACATGTAGGCCTTTTGTTTTTAATTTTCTCACACTTAAAACTAAGTAAAGTTTCTCACGATTCAACATTGCTGTAGGTCTGGGGGTGTGGGCGATAATATACGACATATAGCCTTGTAGGCCTACTGTCCAGATGAAAAGATTAAGAGAAAATAATGGTTTGTAGTCATATATCAGCAGCTGTCATCCCTAATTATGTGTAGAAGACGGGAGTAGTTTTATTCTTAATTATTATTAAACGTATTAAACTTGTTTACGGAGGGAACAAGAAAAATCAAAAGAATCGAACTTTAAAAAAGTTAAAAAAGTGAAAAAATGCCTCGCTTTTACGGCCAGAAAAACTGGTTCATCTAGATGACTGTGCGTGTATTGTGTGTGATGATGTGTGGCGCAATATTAAAACCTCGAGAGAAGTGATCTGTCTGCTGTGAGGATGCGGCGGTTGGTCCCATACGGCGTGCGTCGATTCAGAGCCATATTGCAAGTGCAAACTATGTAATTACACAATTGTCATAGTCATAATTTTTAGGATTGCCCCCCTTCCTTTTTTATTATTTTGTTTATTCTTCCTTCGATATAGATAGTTTACGTATTTGTTCATATTTGGCTCAAAAACTTTGAGATAATCTTCGTAATGTCGCCTAAATAAATCAGTAATTGTCTTCCATAAGTGTTTTGTTATTATTCTATACATTTGCTTTTGTTGTACATATCGAAACTACGCTTTTACTGATCAATACTATTTTATATTCGAATGTTCCAACTTACCTTCTCAGTGTTTCAACTTACCCATTTCGACGGGTAGGTTGGAACACCTTGACCTGTAGGTCAAAATCTCCCTAATCTCTGGCCCCTATTCCATTAGAAATGTGATATTTGCATTTTTGTACGAGGGAGTGAATAAACTAACTACACAACAAAGCTCATTATCTTCGTTTAGTTAGTTATAAACTTATATGCTAAAACGTGTAAAAGTGTTCCAACTATCCCGGCTCTCCCCTATTGCTCATAGTCATACTACTACTAGGCTAGCTAGCTATCTTGTATTTTTGCCAATTCAGTAAAGGCTAATATTATGTAGCCCAGGCATCGATAATATTATACGTTGTTTTTTTTGTTGTTTTGTTTTGTTTTTTTAAATGGCAAATTGTGCGATAGGTCATTGGCACGATTTTCTACCCTCACCAAATAAAGTTATTGTTATTACTACAGAACGACATTATCAGCCAACTACGACGCACATTAAACACCAATGTTGTCGTTGTGGCCTAAAATCTTCTGCGAAGTGAGGTAGTTTTTATATATATAGCGCACATGCGCAAGATCTACGATTTCTAAGAGCATGAGAGAAAAATAGAAACAATTGACAGTAAATGTCAAAACATTATTCTAATGTCTTCCAACAGTGTAAGTTTATATAGGCAATGAATATTTAATAACTGTTCTATACATTGACTAGAAAAGCAACTGTTTACATTGGAAGTTATCGGCTTACTTTGACATATAATCGCCACAACATAGACACACAGTATTCACTGTCTAGAAAATGAAGAATCAGACTTGACCAGTCTTGGCAGTAGTGTCTGTCTGCTGATGACCACAGGGTCTAACATGACCTGTATTGTACTCATTCTATTATTCTCTTTTTACCCATTGCATAATTAATACTGTTTTAACCTGGACAGCTCTCCTTATGTTTATATGCTCAATATAATCATCCGTATCAGTTTCGATTTGAAAATAATTAGTACAGTAAGCTAAGTAATAATTAAATAGAGTAATCCGGAATGATGGAAAATGGGTTTTTCCAAATGGAAAGTCATCTGACAGGGTACAAATGCCGACATTTGCCATTGTTATTATACTGTAGCCATTACGAATTTTAGACTAACAACTACCGAAAATTAGTTTAACTATGCCAACTAAACGATGTTCATGGAGCAACAGTGCTAGCAGATATAAACATAAAGATTATGTGATCAGTCAGTGTTACTTTCAATCCATTTCCAAGGCTGTCAATGAACGATGCTGGCATCCTCGTAATGATATTTCTGTGATTTCGATACAAACAGCACCCTTATGTTTGTTCAAAAAGTAGATAGACTATATTTTAAAACATCAGCATTCTGTCTCACATTTAAAGAAATAAAAATGTACAGATAATAGTCATTATTCTAAAACCAATTTAAAAACATAAATATATAAGCTCTACAGTTATGTATCTTACAAGGTAGCCCATTGGGCACATGGCGTAGCCTAGGGTTCGGCGATATGCCAGTTTTTCGGTATATCGTGATAAAATCATCGCCAATTTTATCATATCAGACTTCTTTAAAAATATCGAAAAACCGGTATATCATGATATCCAAAATTATCCTGATATGATATTTATCATGTCCCAATATTGATGATAATATGCTACATCATACGAAGTCGAAATTGTAATGCGAGAGGTCATGATTGATGCAAGGACTCGTAATCGAGGAACAGTTGTTTGGCAAGATCACGGTTGGACAGTAACGTATTTCTCGGGGTATAAGTCGATATTTTTTTCCGTGACCGAAGTTGGACCTTCGTCTTATAGTCTGCATCACCTTATATATCGACGAAGGTAAAAGAATGTTTTTTCTCTGTAACTGTCGCCCTATGAAGTACGATATTGAGTGACATCGTTTGCTAAATATCAAAATAATAACACTCTCACGGCAAAGTCAACACACATTATTCCGACTTTTGCTATTGTTATTCCAATACAAATACTTGTCGGAGTTTCTAAATATATATAGTTTGTTTAACTTTTTTTTAAAATATAACCAATATTCAATAAAGGCTAGAAAATGTCATTAAGATAGAATCTTTATGCCGACAAGAAACATATATCTCTATCTCTCGTAATTTCTCATAAGAATTCTACTTTGGTTTTCAACTAAATTAACCAATCATAAAAATTCTACTTTGAAAGCCCATAATTATTTTTTTTATTGTCCAATCAATAGATGCCTTCTATTTTATTTTATTCTATTATAATAAAACCGTGTATTGTCTTGTATTTATCGGAGATATTGGAAAAATATAAAGGTTCAAATGAATCAAGAACAAAACTTAAAATAATACTCAAATTAATCCTACATTTAGCAGCTAATTATTTTACATTAATTGATTATGTTTACGAACATCTGCACAGTATTAGACTAGGATAATAACACTGCTGTAACTTGATAAATTAAAAGATTACTGCCCGAAATGAATGAAAAAAAAAACATTTGTCTTACACTACACCGCTTCGACTTATCTGTGGACGAAGGTCGGAAAAACAGTAAAATATGACGATTCGACTTCTACCCCTCATCGATTTATACCCTGTAAAATACGGTATTTAACTCAGTCGCATCTGTCACTGTCTTATAAATATCAAAAAGTAGATTTTCAAACTCTTCTAGTTATGTTTACGTATTATCATCATTAATATTTAACTTCGACTAATGAACGACATTCTATTGATAGGATTAAATTCATCCGTAAAAATAGCATTATTAAGTACCAGCTAGTCTAAGATAAATCTCCATCACCGACGTTAGGAACAAAAATGTGGCATTTTCATGTGGACATATATTGTTGTCGCCCCTGTCCGGACATCCGTCCACAATTGTTTGTGAACACTCTACAGGTCACAATTTTAATCTGATTTCAATGAAACTTGATATATCAGTTTATCACCCTAAGATCTCGGTTCCTTTCGATGTTGGCATGAATCGGACTGTAACTTCATGGATTATGGCTCTTGATTGTACGAAAAATCACGTTTTTAGCTTGTGATCACTGTAGAGGTCACAATTTTTATCCGATTTGGTTTAAACTTGAAATGTATGTTTATAACCCACAGATCTCGGTTCCTTTCGATATTCGTGCATATCGGAACATAACTTCCTGAATTATGGCCCCTGATTGTACGAAAAATCTTGTTTTTAGGTTGTGGACCCTATAGAGGTCATAATTATTATGCGATTTAAAAAAACGTTTGAATATATCACAGTTACACCCTAAGGATGGTTGAGTTCGAAATTTTGTAAAAATCGGACCAAAACTGACAGACAAAATGGTCGCCCCTCATACTCAAATAGCGTAAAAATATGATATATCAAGGTTGTGGACTCTCTAGAGGTCACAATTTTCTTTGTGATATTTGATAAATTATTATCATATATTTTTACATGCCCACATTTTCATGTCCGTCCACAATTGTTTGTGAACACTCTACAGGTCACAATTTTAATCTGATTTCAATGAAACTTGAAATATTGGTTTATCACCCTAAGATCTCGGTTCCTTTCAATATTGGCATGAATCGGACTGTAACTTCATGGATTATGGATCCTGATTGTACGAAAAATCTTGTTTTTAGCTTGTGGAACCCATAGAGGTCACAATTTTTATCAGATTTAAAAAACCGTTACAATATATCAACGTTACACCCTAAGGGTGGTTAAGTTCGAATTTCGTGGACCCTCTGGAGGTCACAATTTTCATCTGATTTTGATGAAACTTGAAATGCATGTTTATAACCCACAAATCTCAGTTCCAGTCGATATTCACGCATATCGGACCATAACTTCCTGAATTATGGCCCCTGATTGTACGAAAAATCACGTTTATAGCTTGTGGTGCCTCTAGAGGTCACAATTTTTATCCGATTTAAAAAAACGTTTGAATATATCACCATTACAGCCTAAGGATGGTTGAGTTCAAATTTCATAAAAATTGAACCAAAACTGACGGACAAAATGGCCGCCCCTCGTTCACAAATAGTGTCACAATATTGTGTATCAGGGTTGTGGACCCTCTGGAGGTCACAACTTTCATCTGATTTTGATGAAACTTGAAATGTATGTTTATAACACAAATATCCAGGTTCCTTTTTATTTTCATACATATCGAATCGCGTTTTTAGTTTGTGGTCCCTCTAGAGGTCACAATGATTATCCGATTTAGAAAAAACGTTAGAATATATCACCCTTACAGACTAAGGATGGTTAAAATTCGAATTTCATGAAAATCAGACCTAAACTACTGGACAAAATGGCCGCCCCTCGTACGCAAATAGTGTAAACATCTGGTATATCAAGTCAGTTAGACTTTGTACAATCTTGTGAACGCTGTAGCAACAAAAGTTAACTTCATTCGTGGTGATACTGATATCACAGACAATCATAAGTTACCACCTGAGATCTGACCTGATCTGGAACTAGTGATTTCTAAAATTTTTAATATTTCTAATCTTATTCATTGTAGCAGTCACAAAACATTCAAGTCACCATTGAACTTGGCCACCAGGCATCTTTTAAGAAGAAACCGTCGACAGAAGGATACACACATGATTGGTCTGTGTTTGTACGAGGACCAGAAGGAAGTAAAATACAACATTATGTGGAAAAAGTTGTCTTTCAACTACATGAATCTTTTGCTAAACCAAAGCGAGGTAATTTTGTTTCCATTTCCTTGTAAGATTGTACTGTATATTGATGTATCTGTCTGTAAGTGTATTGGCATTTGTTTTGTTTTTTGGGTGTTTAAGGCTGAAGTACATTGCATCACATCATCAGTCCAGTAAATAGTTTAGTCATGGAAAATATAAACTTATATTTTAAAAAAAAATTATTAATTAATGATTTATTATCAGAACTGGAAATGACTTGCTTAAGAAAATGTTTTATACTTCAGTTTACTATTTAATTATCAACCATGTTATGTGAGGATCTAGTTTCTATTTGTTGATCAAGAATTCTACAGAGAATTGAACATTTTTATGTGGCATTTTTATACGCCCACATTGAAATGTAGTTGTATATTGTCGTCGCCCCCGTCCGTCGGTCGATCATAATTGCTTGTGGACGCTCTAGAGTCTAAAGTTAATATCCGATTGACTTTAAATTTATACACAGTGTTAAGGGTCATGAAACGAAGAAGCATATTGATTTTCAGCGATTTTCGATAATTACTGCCAGAGTTATTGCCCATGATCACTTTAAAAACCCTTGTGGACGCTCTAGAGGCTAAATTTAATATCCGATTGACATTAAATTTATACACAGTGTTTAAGGTCATGAGACGAAGAATCCTAATGATTTTCAGCGATTTCCGATAATTACTGCCAGAGTTATGGCCCTTGGTCACTTCAAAAAAAAAATGTGGACGCTCTAGAGGCCAAAGTTAACAATCCGATTGACTTTAAATTTATACACAGTGTTTAAGGGCATGAGACGAAGAAGCCTACAAATATTCAGCTATTTCCGATAATTACTGCCAGAGTTATTGCCCTTGATCACTTCAAAAACCCTTGTGGACGCTCTAGAGGCTAAATTTAATATCCGATTGACATTAAATTTATAATTGAAGACGAAGAATCCTATTGATTTTCAGCGATTTCCGATAATTACTGCCAGAGTTATGGCCCTTGATCACTTCAAAAAAAAAATTGTGGACGCTCTAGAGGCCAAAGTTAATATCCGATTGACTTTAAATTTATACACAGTGTTTAAGTGCATAAGCCGAAGAAGCCTATAAATTTCCAGCTATTTCCGATAATTACTGCCAGAGTTATGGCCCTTGATCACTTTGAAAATTCTTGTGGACGCTCTGGAGGCTAAATATCCGATTGACCTTAAATTGATACACACATTGTTTAAGGTCATGAGACGAAGAAGTCTATTCATTTTCAGCGATTTTCAATAATTACTGCCAGAGTTATGGCCCTTGATCACTTCAAAAAATCTTGTGGATGCTCTAGCGGCTAAAGTTAATATCCGATTTACTTTTAATTTATACACAGTTTTTGAGGTCATGAGACGAAGAATCCTATTGATTTTCAAAGATTTCCGATAATTACTGCCAAAGTTATGACCCTTGATCACTTTTAAAAATCTTGTGACGGTCTAGAGGCTAAATTTATCATCCGATTGATACACAGAGTTTAAGGTCTTGAGACGAATAAGTACATGTATATTGATTTTCAATGAATTTTGATAACTTGAACAGCTAAATCCATGATATTAAATGTTTCGTATACTAAACGTTATAAAAACCAAACAAATTCTAATGATTTTCTGATAATTACTTAATGAGTTGTTACTCTTAATCAAATTTTTGTGTATTATAAATGTTTCATTACCGAAAAAAGTAAAAATATGTGATAACTCTTGTTGACTGCCCGGACGATTTAGCTGCTGTGGGTGTATGTTTCGTTGCCTGGCAACCTATCTTTATTAATTCTTAGCTCAATTTGTAAATTTAATTCAAACTTTGTTTCTTCACATCTTTAAAAGTTTTGTCCACTGCCTTTCAAAGAAAGCAAGGGACTATTAAAATCTATCTGTCTGTCACACTTTTTGGACACAATAACTTTCCTTCTAATTGAGCTAGAATGTTCAAACTTGGTATAGCTGTTTATTAGGTGAATTCCTTGATGGAGAGAGAGAGTGAAATGGATTTTAACGTCCACTCAACACAAACTAGGTCATTTTGGGACTAACGTATGGTTCTATTTGTATGGTCTTTAGCAGTGGGGTGGGTTTTCTGTGCAATAATAACAAGCATGTTGAGCAGGTGTCAACGTTACAAGTCATTTAGCACGCTTCATTCGTTAACAGGTTTAACATGTTAACTCATGAAACCGTGCTATAAATATAACTTGTTTTTGTTCAGATTTTTTTTTTATCGCGTTTTCGGAAAAAGGACATATTCTACAGAATTAAACTCTACACTATCCGTAAGGTATTTAATTCAAAAGGTTAATGAATAACTAAAATTTAAAAATGATAACAGGAAGTGACGTCATCAACGAAAAATGACCAATATTAGACATCAAAGGAAATTTTTTTGTTTTTCAACCAATTTGAATGTGGTTTTCACCAGTTTGTACTTGTAGCGGTTTGTATTTCTTAACTTTAATGTTGAAACATTGTGGCCTCTATGACGCATGCGTATGGCCTAATATTAAGCTCAAAAGTGAAAATTCTGAGCGTATTTTTTTTATTTTTGAAGATTTTGACATGAAACTTTCAGAATACATTACAAATGGGTGGATTAAGCCAAAAATGTCCCCTTTAATGATGAAATCAGATTTTCAACTTCTTTAATTTTGCCTTATTTAAAAATATTTGTCAATATATGAGTCAACTATGAATTTTTTAGAGTAATCCCATAAAGTTAAAATTACCAGAAGTGCCACTGTTTTGAAAATGTATGTCAATTTTCAAAATCCTACTTGTCCTACAATTTTTATCCAATTTTCAATAGCGTCATAAATTTGGAAAGCATTCACAATTCGCAATCAATAAGCACGTTTAGAATTTTGATATTTGACCTAGATTTTTTTAAAGTGACGTCTTAAAATTGAATTTTTAAAAAAAAAAAAAAAAGTGTAAGACTACGAAATTAGGTACAATGTCAATGGCCAAAGATAAATTGAGTCATTTGGTGCATATTCTGAAAGTTTTATCAAAATCAGTTTGTAAACAAACGTTCTGTGCAACTTGTAAAAAATAATAATGTGATAGATTATGGTACAGCGGACAGCACCTTGAATATTGGTTATGCTTACTTTAGATATTTACAAAAATATGTGTTTTTGGCATCTACAGTTAAAATAAGTCATTTGAATGTAATTGTTTGCCATCAAATTTATATGACATGTCTTTTGTCTACATGACGTCTTCATTGAATACCATTAAAACTAAATTCTCTCCTGTGGAACTGTTTTAAACAAAAACAATTGTCTTTTAATTTGAAGATATACAGGTGTCGTTAAGAACATTTGAGCTGTTTTGTAAATCTAATCTTACTTTTATTTTGCAAAAGAGCCGTGGTAGCTCAGTGAGTAAGGCTCTGTCGCGTTAATCAGGAGGTTCGGTATTGACCGAGACAGTTCCTCATGGTTTCCTCTTGTCACTGGTGCAGGACGGAGGGCTTAGCAAGGAACAATGTTCAGTCGTTCAGATGAGACAAAAATTGCGGACCTGTGTACACATTGACGTGCGACAAAAGGAACCCTTGGCAGTTTGAATTCGAAATACGAGTAGACCATAGTGCCGCTGTCTGGCGGAAAATTTCCCTTTAGTAACACTGCACGATAGGGCGTCCAGAGGTTCCTCATACACATTGGCATTCACGTAAAAGAATCATGGACGGAATTCAAAATAAAAGCAGTATTCTTCTTTTATGCACGCTATCTATATAAAAAAATGAATCTTAAAGGAAATTTATTTTATTCAACTAAACCCTATTTTGATAGCATGAGACATCTATAACTGATGAATTCATGACATTGTCATTGTGAAGTTATTCCCCTTTACTGTATTTCTGAATAGAAAATATTCAGAATAAGAAGCCAATCTTAATTTTTTTTAATAATTACTGAATGGTTTAATACTCTTGATCATTTTTATACGCCCACATGGAAATGTGAGCACTCAACTCCAAAAGTTATTATCCGATTGTTTTAAAATTGATATATCTGGTTTACATTAGCCTATTTAATTTAAAAAATTTCTGTTCATTACAGCTAGAGTTATGGCCCTTGTTTCACTTTGTTGAACCTTGTAAACGCTATTACACCAACAGTTATCATTCAATCTTTGTGAAATTTATATGTATTATTTAACTTAGTAAAACGAAGAAGCCTATTGAATTTCAGCAATTTCTGTTTATTAAGTCTAGAGTTATGGCCTTTGTTTCACTTTATTGAACTTCAACAATTTACAATAATTGCTTCTAGATTTATGGCCCTTGTTTGGCTTTGTTCAACCTTCAGCAATTTCCGTTTATTAAGTCTAGAGTTATGGCCCTTGTTTCCCTTTATTGAACTTTGAGAACGCTCTAACATCAAAAGTTATCATTCGATCTTTCTGAAATTTATATGCATTATTTAAAATAGTGAAACCACGAAGCCTATTGAATTTCAACAATTTACAATAATTGCTTCTAGAGTTATGGCCCTTGTTTCACTTTGTTCATCCTTGTTAATGCTCGATTGATGAAAGTTATCCAGTATGTATGAAATTTATATGCATCTTTAAAATTTGTGAAACAGAGGTCAGTTATTTCTAGAGTTATGGCCCTTGTTTGACTTTGTGAACCCTGTGAATGTTTGAATGACAAAAGTGATAATCCAATCTGTATGAAATTTATGTGCATTATTTAAATTAGTAAAACGAAAAAACCTGTCAAATTTCAACAATTTCTGTAAAGTTGAGGCCTTTGTTTCAGTTTGTAAAACCTTGTGAACCCTCAAACGTCAAAAATTATAATCTGGTCTGTAGGAATAAATATGCGACAACCCTTGTCGACCGCTCAGACGATTTAGCTGCTGTGGGCGTATGTTTCGTTGCCTAGCAACCTATCCTTTAAATTAGTAAAACGAAAAAGCCTGTCAAATTTCAACAATTTCTGTAGATTACTTCCAGAGTTGAGACCCTTGTTTCA